ATTTTTCTGAATAGGCGTAACTTTTAGCGAGAACCATAAAGCGAGAATCATGTATAGAACGTTTCCGCATTTTTGTGACTATAATTTAAAATTTAGAAGAAATAAATATGAGTAGCAAACAATATATAGCAGAAAAGTTGTAACTTTTCAATAATAACCATATAGTGATTATTAAGAAAATACAACTTTTCACATAGCAGAATTATTATAAAGGAAAATTTAAAAAGAAACGTAACTCTTGACCAGACACAAAAATTAATTATAGAACTTTGAGAAGTACATTTTCATAGAAGTAAATAAAAAAGAAAATATATAAAAACACAAATGTTACAGTTTTAAATCTATGATAAATTTGTTGCACAGAATGATTGCATGATTTGTTAGCTACGTGCGTCCAAAATAAGATACCTTACCACTAAATTATAGTCTAATATAATGCCTTGATGTAAATATGCATGGAAATCCAAAAAAGTATATCGGGATTATTGTTAAAAAAATCACAATTATTTTTAAAAAAATCACAATTTTTTTTCTTTGGTCCGCAGTTTGATCAGTTCTAAACAACTAATTTATTATGAAATTTGATTGATGATTAACCAAATCAAAACGATACAAAATCTGAAAACATTATTTTGCCATAGACATAAGGACCTCTTAAAATGTATAACTTCATGGATTAAAATTTATTATTGATCCATTGAAATTTTAATTACATTTACAAAAATAGTATGACTACATTTACACATATTTAAGAAAGTAACCAATTTGATGTCGTAAATAACAATTACTACTAAAGGTAACAAACATTTACAAGGCGATACAATTTTAAATTTAGATCTATAAAGCATGTCAGTAAAAAACGTTTTTCCTTCTAAACACATTATTTGTATTGGAACCATCGCTTTTCGTCTAACAAAAAGAAAAATCTCAAAGTTTGTATGCCATTTCAATCGATTCATTTGAATTGTAGCATATTTAAATTGTCCAATTCATATAAAAATACAATTGATAACCAAATCGATTATGAGTGTTTCTTCATTCCTGAATTGTATAGCAATGTTAACGGAGCTTCAGTATTATGATAATGACAACCTAAATAAACTGCTTTCAAATATAAAGAATCAATATTTCCGTGGAAAATTGTAAGATCAAAAAACTCACTACATGCCCCACCC